TCATATAGTTGTATTGTAGTTTTTTAAAGAAATGTGAGTAAGCTTAGTTCTAATTTAATTTTGACATTTTTTTAGTACACCAAACTTCATTTAGAAGTTGTTTTTTTTAAACAAAATACCTACATTTATTTTCAGATAGAATGACGCATTTTAATGTTATTCAACACTCAGTCTCACAGGTTTTTTATTAAATAAATAAATTTAATTTTYAATTCAACATGGTACTCACTACCCATATAGTCCCATACTCAATATTCAAAAACCTTTTATATTTGTTTTAAATTTACTCAGCATTATATWTTTTTATTATAAGCACTAAGCAATTAATAACATACTGACTGAGATTTCTAATTTTCTATGTTATGTTCTAAAAGAAAATATCAATAAAATAATGAATTTTGTTATAAAATTATATTATTGGTGACCATTGTGAAGGCATATTTATATAAAAAAAATCCTCTTCAAATTAATTTGTTGAATGTCATCATCACATGAATATCTTTGAATAAATTAAATGATTAATAAATAATATTAAAGCGACCAATTATCATTAAAAAATAAATGACTATTTTTAGATACTTATAACCGATGAATAACTATTGACATTGATTAGTTATAATTAATAAGCWATACTGTGCATCCTTTATTGGATGAATAAAAATGTACCTACAAGTTGATACTAAATATTATGAATTCAGAAATTTTACATACATGCAAAGTAGATTTATTAAGTTACAACTATCATTTGCCATAAATTAAAATTAAAAAATAAATATTGTTCTCAATACCTACCTCGAAAATATTTCTTTAATTTTAGATTCTGAGCGGAACGAGGAATGTATTGATTTACCATGATGTGTGTTTTTGTTTTATTTAATTATTATTTTTTTTTATGTCTTCCATCACGTTTTGGGCTTTTTTAAATGTATAATTTTAACTTTGGAAGAAGTTGTACTAATAAATATTAATTATTTAAACTGTTTGACAAAATGTTAGTTCCAGATTTATTTCGAAGCCATTTTAGTTTTGGGTATGATGACATGTAACGGAGTACGACATAAAACGGTCCTTTTCAGGACCTCTAACAACTAAAAACCACATTCAACACATATTAAACGCAGTTCCAAACGGCAGGTTTTACATAGTAGTTTCAACGGTATGACAAGGAAAAACCGCACTGAGCTAGTGACAGCCATCAGGCAACGATACGATGATGAATCGTCATGCCAAAAACCTACAAACAATCAGGGAACAACTTTAATGATCCAAATGGGGGGGGATGATATCAGTTCTCCTACAACCAATAAGAATTGACTACATCAGTATGGCCAACTTTAAGAAACCAAAATCTGAGTTTAATTTAGGTAGAAACTAGGTACGGCTATAAAATAAATATTGTCTAACTTATTTTAACTTTTTTAAAGTGATTTTGTTGTTTTTTCATTTAACTGTTTCTATACATGACGACTAGCCCAATAAATAGTTAAATAGTCTAATATTTAGATATAATGTATATATTATATTTCATAGTATGAACATAGTTTTTGACATTAGTTANTTTTTTTTATGTCTTCCATCACGTTTTGGGCTTTTTTAAATGTATAATTTTAACTTTGGAAGAAGTTGTACTAATAAATATTAATTATTTAAACTGTTTGACAAAATGTTAGTTCCAGATTTATTTCGAAACCATTTTAGTTTTGGGTATGATGACATGTAACGGAGTACGACATAAAACGGTCCTTTTCAGGACCACTAACAACTAAAAACCACATTCAACACATATTAAACGCAGTTCCAAACGGCAGGTTTTACATAGTAGTTTCAACGGTATGACAAGGAAAAACCGCACTGAGCTAGTGACAGCCATCAGGCAACGATACGATGATGAATCGTCATGCCAAAAACCTACAAACAATCAGGGAACAACTTTAATGATCCAAATGGGGGGGGATGATATCAGTTCTCCTACAACCAATAAGAATTGACTACATCAGTATGGCCAACTTTAAGAAACCAAAATCTGAATTTAATTTAGGTAGAAACTAGGTACGGCTATAAAATAAATATTGTCTAACTTATTTTAACTTTTTTAAAGTGATTTTGTTGTTTTTTCATTTAACTGTTTCTATACATGACGACTAGCCCAATAAATAGTTAAATARTCTAATATTTAGATATAATGTATATATTATATTTCATAGTATGAACATAGTTTTTGACATTAGTTATTTTTTAACATTGATTATAAATACTATATTATAATATAATAAAAATAATATAATTATAGTATTTATAATCAATGTTATTAATAATTTTATTAATTTTATTTTTATAATTCTAATTATATTAATTGAACATATTCCAGGGGAACTAGAAACAAATGGTATTATATTTGAATAAAAATAAATAATTATGCAATTAATAGTGAATAATTTATAGAAAGAATTGTATTCTTTAGAATATTATGCTCAACAATTTACCACGAAAGTCTTCCTCGTCGTCACTATTATTAAGTAGAATATTCTCTTGGGGMACTAAAAAATAAATATAATTTTATTTAAATGATAAATTAATCAAAGGAAAATAAATATATACTTTGTAGAGCATAATAAAATATAATATATTATATTATAATTGAAATATTAAATGTTAAATAATTTATAGGTACTATTATAAATTAGAATAATAACAGTGATTACGAGTACAATAATACGATATTTCTATATATCCATTTTTAATAAAACAGAGGTTGRTATCGTTGAACTTCCGCCTACTAAATTCTTATCTATCTGTAGGAGAACTGTATGTCCCCGCCAAATGGGTATATATACCASTAGATTTCAAAAACTCTTCACTCTTCAATTTCATCTCTAATCGTCAATAAGTCATCAAGAACTTGCAACACAGACGACTGGAGACCAGAAGAACAACCTACACCGACTCTACAGCTCAAGTTCAAATCG